AGGTCAGCAGCACTCAGAATGAAAAATAAGATCCGGATTTTCAACTTCAATGTGAAGTCAGTGCTGCTACACGTATCAGAGACTTGACGCGCCCCAAAAGGCACTTCGATTAAGCTACAGACCTTCATAAACAACTGTCTTCGCTCAATACTGCTCAACATCAGATGGCCAGAAATGATCAGCAACAGGGATATCTGGGAGCAAGCCAACCAGGAAACAAACGTGCAACGAATATGCAGGAAGAACTGGAGGTGGATCGGCCATACTCTGAGAAAGCAAACCATCAAGTGAGTGACATCACACTCCAGGCCATAGCTCAAGTGGGGCCCAAATGGAAGCGGCGAGCTCGCCGTAAGTGCGAGGGTGTGGTGACGTGGAGGAGTTGATGTGAAGAGGAGATGAAAGCATGTGGGCAGATGTGGAGCCAGGCGAGAACGTTGGCAGAGTTCGAGCGTATGGCAGTTATGCGTCTGTATCCCTATGTTCCTTTGGGAACTAAAGGAGACCACAACAATAATGAATCAAGTGTGGCATGAAGGAAATAATATGACAAAAAATCGGAAGCTTATAGGTACCCGTAAAGCCATCTAAAACAGACTTCAAATAACCAAGTGAAATGGCAATGTGTTTTTGAAGCTATAGGTCCACTCAAAACAAATAATAATAATAATAATACAAATAAAGCGTTGATTAGATTTGAGCAGATACCTATCTGGTTATGCTAGTGGGTTATGTCACTGGGTGTACATCTAACAAATAAGTCGTCGAGAAATACGCATGTTAAGACTGTTTCTCGGTCGCTTATAGATCTATTTTCACAAATATATCTGTCTTCCCAAGACAAACTCGATTTCGAGTGAACACGCGTGCACGTGTGTGTCTAAATATTGTTTGCTGTCAGACAACTAAAGACAGTCATCAAGAAAAAGCTTTGGACTTGAGTTCTTTAATTCACTCAACATATCATACGAATCATGTCTCATATCCTGATAAACCTAATATACTCTAAGATGTACATTAGTCAGTGCTAAGTACATACTTATCTTACAGCTGAAAACAGAAAAATGAAATTGGATTGAATGAATTCTAGATTTTTTATAGTTTTCTTTCCAGTGAATCAAGTGAATTAAAGTGTTCGGCCTCTGTTGAAATGTCGAATCCAAGTATGAACGCTCTGACAATGTTTCAGGATCGACATAATGTCAGAAGTGGTGGTTATTTTGGTTTAAGTGGGGCAGTAATGGATGACATTTTGGCCTTTGAAATGATGCCTACTAAGTTCGAGCCCCAGTGTGAACACCATAACTCACTGGGAATTGTATGTAAATCCATTTAACGAGTCCCGAATAGGACTTAATGGGAGGATAATATACGCATTAATCATGCTACGGATATTTTGCTATTTATTACAGACTATTGACCAAGTTTTTTCAGTTTATTTCTGACATTCGTCTCTTCACACAACACCAGCGTTAAATATGGTATCATTTAATTTTGTATATTGTACCGTACGAGACTAAATTCTCATGAGATGTCTTTCTGGTGTTACTCACAAGAGAGAATGTTCAGCATTCGACAAGATGACTTTAATCAGCTACCTGCAACAATTAAAAATGCTTATTAACAACAATGTCAATTAATTAGGTCAAAGGTACACCAATGTATCCGCCTACAGCCTTCAATGTTCTATGTAATTTGACATCGTTAACATTTTGGGAAGAAAAGGAAAGAATAAGGCGAAACAATAACTATTGTATAATATCTTGATAAAGTGAAAATAGTTACACACAAATGTTTTCGTTTATCTGATGTAGAATTTATGTTAAGTTTAAACGCCCAGTTTTACCAAGAAATTCTATGTACACTTTCCAATGAAGCGTGTATGTGTTGATAACACTGTAGAAAATCTGAATTCAACTCCAGTCTGTCTGCTATTACTGCATAGTTTTTTGTCCTTTTTGAAGATCTAATCAATATTGATGAAATACAACTCTTAAGAGATAATATCTGAATGCCTTTTCTATATATTTAGTTTGAACATGATTCCTGACAGATTTCACTAGGTCTTTGTCAAAAGAATTATGGCGGGATTGAAATGGTTGTCATTAAGTAATAGTAAGAATATAATCCAAGCTTTTATCGTCTAACTGACTAGGTTTCAACATGGGATTTTGCATAGAAGTTCAGCATTTCAAGTTGTGGCAGTCCAGATAGCAGAGAAAAGAGAGAAGAGAGATTCAAAGGAACCATGAAGGTTTAGTGGGTATGGAGATCATAAAGAGCGGATGCATATGGAACACTCAGAATGATTTTGTGTCATGTCACAGACAAAGTCCAGCTATTCGTCCTTAGCATTTCAAGGACCCCAGGTAGGCAGTCTAAACCTCCACACATGGTTCAAAGCAACAGTTAAAGACTTCACTCACTGACACCAGGTTTCGATTAGACTATCCAAAAAATTTAATCGTTTGCTTTCCATTCACCTAGGCAATATCCCATTCTCCAAGTGAGAGGATTTTGATTGCGAAGGTTTACATTCTTATTCTTCCTATTGATGAACATTCCCATGTTGTTAATAAAACATGTGTGAATAAGTTCTGATTATAATGGAGTAGATGGGCATCAGTGGTACAGCAGTAAAATAATCGCCAAAGGCGCATGTGGTTTGGGGTTTACTCCCCGGCCAACACCCTCCTAAATCTCGCTAAGCCGGTAATACGATGGGTAAAGACAGAAGGTTAAGGTTAGCAACCCCACTCATAAAAATAAACACGACTGTCGCCGAAACGTTAGAGATCAAACTTTGAGCCCTATGCCCCAGTAGAAACGTGGAAGAATAAAATAAAATAAAAAAATTGATGCAGTATATATCTCATGCATAAATGCACTTCAGCTGAATTCTGTGATAAAGTCGGACACTTTATCCATAGAAACCAAATCGGAAATTAAATACCTAGGCGTCATTCTATCTGCTGATCTCTCCTGGTAGTCTCATATCTTAGCGATTACTAATAAAATATTCCGTCTTACCTTCTACATCAAGAAGTTAAAACATTCTGGTATAACCCAACCCTTACTCCTACAATTCGTTAATTCTCGCATTCTGCCTATTAGTCTCTATTGTTCCCCCTTAGTTTTTCCCGGGCTACTGAAGAAAGATTATAACATATTACACAGGATGTTAAAGGTTGTCAGCAGGGTAAGCAATGTACCACTTAACCAGCTTGTTAATACTCTGGTCGACAGGCACTTGGACTCATGTCAAAAATGGGCTAAATCCATTCTATCTAACTCAAACCACCCTCTTCACTCACAACTCTCCCCTTTTATCTCATCAGGCAAAACCAGAAGCCTATATACAAAACTATATGCTCGCACCACCAAGTACAAAAACTCAACCATACCCTACTTAGCTCGTGTTCTGTGCGATAAAGAAAGCATTAGGCGTGACACCTATAATTCATTAAATAGTCAGTAGAACAATTGGATCTCGTCTTTCCAACTCATATCATTCATAGGTACAACATTTTCTTTCTTTCTTTTCCTTTTCTCTCTCTCTTTTCTCCGTTATGTGCTGCTTTGTTTCTTTCTCTCGCTTACGCCAGTAAATATGATAGCACCTACTTTTCTAACACCTTCAAACACTTTTCCGCTTTACCTTTGCTACCGACATGCCAATGTGTTGTTGTCATAATGAACTGAGATTTCCTTAATCCATGTAGAATTTTATTTATTGATAATGTACTAACTGGATGCAATACGGTAGTAAAAATGCAGAGAATTCCATTCTGTATCACAAGTACTGTTTTGGAATAAAGCAAGATTATTATTATTATTATTAAATTTGGAGGAATTCACTTGAGACTAGACGGAAATATATCATTTGATGATATATATATACTGAGGTGTGTTACAGACAATGTGTTTCAACAGAATAACCTCAGATATTCCCACAGTTCAGTACTGCATTAGCAACAGATTAATATATGTATGTAAACATTCTATTAATACCGTTTAAAGTAAGCCAAAATCACACACTCAATGATTGTTTAGAGAATATAAAACTGTATAAATGTAAATAGAGGTTTGATCACTTGAAAATATACCTTGACTTCCGTCTTTTGCGTTCTGCTGTTACAATATGACTGATTGAATTGCACTGATGTCAACCACTGCTGCTTGCCAAGCAAGATCAAAATCACCCTGACACCGGATCCGAATTTTTGCTAGAATTCCGGTGGTGTGATCTAAATCAGATCTCTCAGCTGAGTCACACCGGATACGTCATCATTGAACTTGGTCTCAAGCCAGTGGAACTTATGCCAGGTGCTTAGATCACTTTGATCTAGAGAGCAGGCACCAATGGTTGATGTAAGCGGTATCCAATTGATAATATCAACCAATCAGCAGTAAATATTTTGTCAAAAGATATATTTCCGTTTAGTTTCTGCTGTATTGGTTGAAATCTGTGGATAAAATCTCCGATTTTGTCACTGTGTTCACTTATAGTAGACTCACGTTTGCAACGTTTAATACGCTGAATACACACAGCTCAACTGTGACATCATATAAGTGCTTTAAAATGCATTACAAAGACTTCATCTTGTTTGATGAACAGTACTGCTTTTGGTACAATTTTTTCCTTCCCGGAGTGGACCAGAAACTTTCAAGTTCCGAAGTTTCACTAACAGTAATGTCGTTTCTTTTACTAGGTGAAGTGACTAGCGTTAAGTTCAACCTGCCTCTTTCTTCCATCTTACGAGTGACCAGTGAATTAGGCTAGGCTTGGGAGTGAATCCACCAGGAACAGAACCCAGACCAAGTGCGTGGCCGGTGAGCGGTCCACTATAGAATTACTGGCGCAAAAATGACAATTTTCACTGTCTAATGGTTTTAGTGGAAACTAAACTATGCGTATATACACATATATTCAATACTGTATAATTATTTCGAGGTATGAGTTATTTAATATTGATTACTTTCTTTTCTTTATGTCATAGTGGAACCAGTCCGCTTAAAACTTACTGGATGCTTGGATTTTCGTCAAATCGGTTGGATACAATATGGAGTTTTACCAGTTTATTTATTGTATAGTCTATGGATAATTCGATTATATTCAAGTTTTTGTCAGGTGTTCACAACAATTATTGTATCTAATTGGTAAGTGGAAAAATTGTTGAGCTTTCCGTTTTTATTCAGTATAAAATGTATCCTTTGATTTCGATAATTATTACTGTTCTCTTGAGTTCCAAGGGGAACGCTGGGCGTCAGCAGAATGTCTCCATTTCACTATCTTGTCAGAAGCTCCTTTTAACTGACTTAATGATTGCTTACAAGCTTTCATTTTCCGCACACACGGTCCCATTGATGTCACCCATGGACAAATGCCCAACTTGTTGCATTCCATTCGGTTTCGACTCTATGGCCTGGTGCTGAATGATACTCAATGGTCTCCTCAGCGTATATCCTATCCACTTCTTTTTCTTTCTGCATATGTTTTGAGAAAGAGATTCTTGATTGGTTCGCTGCAGTTCCAGAGTTCTTCGTTGCTGATCCTTTCTGGCCAGCCATCTGATTTTCAGTATTTTCATGTGTAAGTACAGAAGAAATGTCCGTATTTCAGTCACATTTTCATGGTAGTTGCTTCTTACTAGCAAAACTTTAATACTAAATTTTACCCCTGCAAAATGAAAATGGCACTGCGTTAACGCGAAATTCAGCGGGGTATACAAGTTTCTGCAAATGATGTCTAATCTCACATCATTCAGTAGATAAACATTTGAACTACTAGTGACATTAATTAGACTGATAATTCCTGATTTAAAGGTTTCGTTAAAAGTTGACATCAGTTAGAGGACCATTTGAAAACCTGGGAGTACTGTGACCCGACCAATCGGCCTATGAAACCCAACCTCTGCTATTTCGTGTTACACATAGCTCGACCGCCAGCCAATATCATAGGTGACCAACTGATCTCTTACCTGACTTGATGGAACCCCCTGGTTACAACCTCTTACTGGAAGTTCAAGTTACTTCCTTAACAGGGTCAGTCACTAGTTATCAGTTCCTGATTTGTCATTCATATGAAATATGTCTCACTGCTGTATTATTTCGGAATCACTTACTATATCACAAAACGTTTATCTCTACACTGTACAGTATAAAAGAGAGACTATTCCATTGCCATAATAACACCTAAATTCACGTACATAAATCCGGAAATCTGTAATCCACTTCTGATCTGGTTTAGCTTCAAAAGCATTTGCTAGTGATTTACACTGTGTAAGGAAGTACTAGACTTCAATAAAGGTACTTATTTTGTTTTCATTACAAAGTCAAAAGATAAGGGGAAATTTGATATTCTATTGAGTACAATTCAGTATTGGCCACATTAAAGATAAAATAAAAAGAATGACTCATGGTATATTCAAGAGTTAATTTGTAGATATATCATCTACTTCAAGTTTCGTTAGGGATTCATATTATTTACGCAACCACTGAGACTAAGGAGTACTAGACACCTGTTTCTTCCCTCTTGGGGACTTTTTTGGCGATAGCACGAGGGATTTAATCTAGTAGAGCTAGTTGACCATTCATTTACTGGAATAAATTCCTCCCCTGAAACCTGACACTTGAAAAATACATTGTTCTATTTAGTTTTGAATGCTTCTTTAAAAAATTCAATTTCATGATTACGTCAGATAATTTCTGAGACTGCGTCCATCTCCATCTTTCTACACACACATACAAACACACAAACACACACCTGGTTTACTACATTAATTGTCCTACAACAAAAGCTGATAATGAGTCACTGAGTGTACACTTACCCTTACCAAGTTACTGAAAGTTTATAAAAGAGGTGACTTGGAAATGGACAACAGCAATCGTTTTAATGAAAAATCAAAAATACTTTAACATCTAACAAAATCACAACTTGTTTTATTCTTTTCTCACAAATCAAAATGAGTCAGCTACTTCTCTACCTTCATATTTATTGGTATATAGGGCGTTTTTATTCTCATCTTGGGGAGAAGAAGGAAACACTAACTAGCCTTATGACAAATTAATAATGTGGTTTTGTAGTTTATCATAGATTTTATTGATTAAATGATCAGTTCATTCATCCGTGTCTGTTAACTGACCAAAATTGACACTAAAAATAATTGAGCCACGTGAGTTGATATATACTTCAACAAGTTATTCACTTTTTATCTTGAAAAGGGAATAGTTGATTTTAATTCCTATTAACTAATGAAGAGTTGTCAGTTTAGGTTTTATCATGGATCAGTTAGAGAATTAGTAAAATCCAACGTACATTTGATACCTTTTTGATGTGGTTGTGTTCTTTGAGCTGGTTAGTTAATTTGCGAAGCTTTATTCACCCTAATAGGTGACATCTTCAGCGCATACTTCAGTTTGAAGTGAGCTGTTGGATTTCTCCGGGAGTTTATTAGTCATCCCTCTCGGTGACCTTGGACATAATTGGTTGTTTTTGTGTGTTTTCACACCTTCTAGGCTACTTGTATTGGAACTGATTGGTTCTTTGACTTGAACTTTGACCCTTTGTGTGTGAGGTTTCTTTCTTATCGGTTGATAAATTTTGTATATCTCGATGTGTCTATTGATTGATGATTCTAAAAATTCTATAGCGTTCATGTTGTTCCCTCTGTCTAATATTTGAACATTGTCCCAATCGAATTCATTTCCGTGGTTGTCTGCATTTAGTGAAATGAGGGAGTGGATGTCACGTCTTTCGACGGCTAGCTTATGTTCGTGGATACGAAGACGAAGGAGACGTCCACTTTGGACAATGTAGTGTTTTTCGCAATCGTTGCAATTTATTTTGTAGATGATGTTGGTTTTATCTCCTTTTTTTTGGTTGACATGGAGCCAGCTGAGTCAAGTGATTTTGTTGGTTTTTGTGCGACGTCAATTCCTAAAGGTTTGAAGAGTCTTGCAGTGATTTCTGATATATCCTTTATATATGATAGGGCGACTTTCTTTGTGCTTTCCTTGGGGGATTTTGGTTTGATAGGTTGGCTTGAGGGTATATGTCTTTTGATGAAATTCCGTGGATATCCATTCTTTTGGAAGACTGGCGTCCATGAGATATCTTTCTTCAATTTTCCTTAACGTGGGAGTGCTGCAATGAGTCCTGGCCCTCTTGAATAGTGTTTGTATGCAATTCCGTTTGTGTGTTATTGGATTGTTGCTGTCGTAATTCAGTATTTGGTCTGTGTGAGTTGATTTTCTATAAACATGGGTTTCTAATTCCCCCGTGGTTGTTCACTTGACTAAGACGTCCAAAAATGGGATTTTGTTCTCTGATTTCTCTTTTCTTGTGAATTTGATGTCGTTGAAGACGTTGTTTATTAAGTTGTGAGTTTTATCTAACTGGTTTCTTTTGATAATTACAAATGTGTTGTCCACGTAGCGTATCCAAATCTCGGGTTTGATCTTTGGTAGAATTATGTTCTCGAGCCTTTGCATCATTGCTTCTGCAATCAAACCTGATATTGGCGATCCCATAGATGTTCCTTTGACTTGTTCATATATTTGGCCCTTGAAGTGGAAGTACGTTGTTAGTCATAGGTCTATGCATTCCATCCACTTTGTGTGTTGCATTTTTGTTTGTTGTGACACCTTTACCATCTGGGCTTGGAACACTCTAGCAGTGCTAAACGGTTACCTCACCAAGGGTCGAGCCAAAGGAACATCAGTTATGAGGTGATCACGTTATTATGTAGCTACTGTTTAGGAATACAATAACCCCTGAACACTATATTGTTACCACCATTCTTATTATTCCCCTGGATTCTGAGTGGAAAATAGATCTTCAGAAGCAGGTCACCCGTTCATTCTTGTTCTCTGCAGCCTTTTATAGCTGGATCCACGTCTATTCATAAGCTCCCACTTCCCCGTCACATGATCTCACTATCGAACTCACGCCCAAGTTGTTTTTTTTTGAATTTGGTTTCCTCTCACTTTACGGTCTCCTCAGTGTAAGTCTTATTCATCCACATTTCTTTTGGTATGTTTGCTGGGTGGAAGGTTGTTGGTTGTTTCGTTGCCACAGTTCCTTGTTACTGATCTTTTCTGTTCGACCATCTGATCTTCATTTTGAAGCGAAAGCAGCGGCCTGTTGGAGATGCTTTTGGTGACGTGCGTGCCAAGTTTCTGAAGTAAATAACAGAACTGACTGATTGAAATTAATGTTGAAAATTCTAATCTTGTTCCTTATTGATGAATGAAGCAGATTTCCAGTTGACTTCAGTGTCTTGAGTATCTTTTTTGATTTCCCGATCCTAGCTGTCTTTGACATACTTAGCCGAGTTGCCTGCAGTTACATCTTCGATCACAATCTCAAACAATACTGATTTCGATATATTCTATATCTAGGTACATGCCTCGGTGGTCAAATTGTAGGACACTCGACAACCATTTAGGTGAGCTGGGTTTTGATTCGCCGCCGATGCACTCCTAAGCCTCGCTTAGTCGTCAGTATAGCCAGTGAAGACGAAAGGTTGGGCGTAAGGATGGCCGCCTCACACAATAAAAGTAATCACTCCTGCTACTGAAAAATCAAAGCTCAAGCCTGAAGCCCTAGTTTCCCCTCGGAAAGTAACGGAATAAAATAATCATAACAGTATCTAGGTACAAAATTGACACATGTATGGATTCCATTATGGATAAGATTTTATTTTGATAAATCACACAGTGTTATAGAGTAATATTAACTGATGACGACGTTTCGAGCACTGTATAACACTGTGCGATTTATAAAAATAGAATCTTATCCATAATGAGGTTATACTTTACCTCAATGCGCAAGTTTTATACTTATATCAATAATACATATGGTCTTCCTACTAGGAAGCTTATCAACAAACTCACACGACTTTGTCAAACAGAAGAAAGATTCACAAACCATCGGATTTTTAACAGTCGATGTTTAAAAAGTCACATAATTCCACAGTATTTACGCATACGTACTCCAATTACACCAAGAAAAATAACATCAGCAGCCGAACATGCCAGTTGATTATGCCAAAGAGAAGAACTACATCGAATTACTATGAAACCAAAGAATATACGAAATGAAATAGAAAAACTCAAACACAAACTCAGATGTATGATCAATGAGAAAGATTATGTAA